ACTCTCTCCCCCCATCCCCAGCCCGCCCGACTGGGCATCAGCGATACTGTCTTTCAATCAATACCAAGAGGACTGGTGACAAACTTGGGAGCAAAGGATCCCAAACTGCCACATAAACCACATTAACCACCGGAGTAATTCAGCCACTCTGAGGCCCCGGCCCCGCCCACCCCGGGGGCGGGGAAACGAGTCGCCCCGCCCACTCCGCGAGGGCGGGAGCTCACTGGCTCTCCTGGGACCCACCTGAGGAGGAAGATGCGGGCTGAGTGGGCTTGGGGACCTGGGCCCTTCCTGTCGGCCTTTCTCCTCCAGACACAGGACCGAGGCAAAACGTCCAGGGAGAGACCTGCACTGGTCGGAGCTGCAGACCCGGGCCCCACAGAGCAGCGCCCAGCTAGCAGCCTTCTGGCCTCTCTCAGGGAAGAGTCATAAGTTTCGGCCACTCTCCTTGGTCCTGAAGCCCCGCTCTCTCCTGAAAGCTGGGAGCCTTTGCGCACCTGGCAGGTACCCCAGCCCCACCTCCGCCCCTTTCCCCACACGTTCTCCATCCCGACTGCTGGGGACCAGAACCTCCCAGACTGTCGTGCCCTGTGGCTCCCTCCTGCCAGTCCTCCTCTGGACCTGCCCCCACCAGGCCCTCAGGGCTCCGTCCTGGGTGTGACTGAGGCAGACACTTACTGGTGTCCAGGACAAGGAAAACCTTTTCGGCACTAGAGGAGCAGACAGCCCGTCATTCGAGAGTGAGGAAAAGTAGAGACTCTTATACACCCTCAGCCGCGTTACTGAAACAGTTGCCGAGAATTTCTGGTTAAAATGAAATCCCACTGAGCCAAGAACTGGATAAAGTTTCGGTAAATTTAATGACCATGGAAAAGTATAGTGATTTTTAAAATTTTTATTTATTTTTGGCTGTGCTGGGTCTTTGTTGCTGCACTGGCTTTTCTCTAGTCACGGTGGGGGGGCGGTACTCTCCAGTTGTGGTGTGCAGCCTCAGTAGCTGCAGCCCTCAGGCTCCAGAGCTCTAGCTCAGCAGTGCGGCACACGGCCTTAGTTGCCTCTAGGCCTGTGCGGTCTTCTCAGTCCGGTGATCCAGGGATCAAACCCATGCCCCTGCATTGGCAGGTGGACTCTTAACTACTGGACCACCAGGGAAGCCCAGAAGCCTATTAATTTTTGTATCAAAAACAAAACTGAGATGTTACAGAAACCTATTGAGATGGCAGCGGGGCAGGTACTGGCAGGCATCATCCTGGCCATGGGGGAGCCCTGTGCTGCATAACCGTGAAGAATTAAGACTTTATCAGTTCAGCCACTCAGTCGTGTCAGACTCTGCAACCCCATGGACTGCAGCATGCCAGGCTTCCCTGTCCATCACCAACTTTTGGAACTTGTTCAAACTCATGTCCATCGTGTCAGTGATGCCATCCAACCATCTCACCCTCTGTCGTCCCCTTCTCCTCCTGCCTTCAATCTTTCCCAGTATCAAGAGTCTTTTCCAAAGAGTCACTTCTTTGCATCAGTTCAGTTCAGTTGCTCAGTCATGTCCAACTCTTTGTGACCCCATGAACTGCAGCATGCCAGGCCTCCCAGTCCATCACCAACTCCTGAAGTTCACCCATACTCACGTCCATTGAGTCGGTGATGTCATCTAACCATCTCATCCTCTGTCGTCCCCTCCTCCTCCTGCCTTCAATCTTTCCCAACATCAGATGGCCAAAGTATTGGAGTTTCAGTTTAAGCATCAGTCCTTCCAATGAATATTTAGGACTGACTTCCTTTAGGATTGACTGGCTGGATCTCCTTGCAGCCCAAGGGACTCTCAATAGTTTTCTCCAACACCACAGTTCAAAAGCATCAATTCTTTGGCACTCAGCTTTCTTTATAGTACAACTCTTCCATCCATACATGACTACTGGAAAAACCATAGCTTTGACTATCAGATCTTTGTTGGCAAAGTAATGTCTCTGCTTTTTAATATTAGCCAGTATTTAAATGTCTTAAGGGTACTCAAAAAAGAGAACTTTAGTTTATAATTTCCGAACAAAGAGAAAAAAGTAGAGAAGTTTATTACTACAATGAAAGAGGAGGCAAAACAGCAACCCCACATCCCTAAGTTGGTGGCAGAGAACACAACTAGGGATTGTGGAGAGAAGTCCAAAGACATCAACAGTCAAAATAAATGCACTGCATTGCTCACTAAAGGAGAGACTGGAGTAAAAACACCAGACCTAGTTGCACTACTCACGAGACAGTACAGCTACATGGGGGCAGGGTGTGGAGCCCAGAGATGGAACAAACACCAACCCCAAAAGCTGGACAGCAGTACTGAACTCAGACAGTTTGTGACTTAACAGGGAAACTCAAATAGAGATAAAGAGAAACTCTAAATGTAATTTGAAATGTGGTTTTGGAGAAGACTCTTGTAAGTCCCTAGAACTGCAAGGAGATCAAACCAGTCAATCCTAAAGGAAATCAGTACTGAATATTCACTGGAAGGACTGATGCTGAAACTGAAGCTCCAATACTTTGGCCACCTGATGCAAAGAACTGACTCATTGGAAAAGACCCTGATGCTGGGAAAGATTGAAGGCAGGAGGAGAAGGGGATGACAGAGGGTTAGATGGTTGGATGGCATCACTGACTTGATGGACATGAGTTTCAGCAAGCTCCGCGAGTAGGTGACAGACAGGGAAGCCTGGCGTGCTGCAGTCCATGGGGTCACAGAGAGTCAGTCACATGACTGAGTAAATGAATTGAACTGATATGTAATAATGGGCTATGACCAGGGGCTAAGCACCTAGTGCTGAAACATCTCAGAAGAGCAGCCTCCCGAAGGGACAGAAGTTGCTGCTGTGAAGGGGGCACATGAAGTCCAGGAACTCCAAAGCACTGGAACCCTGTGGCCCACATTCTCGGGGTCACGGCAGAGACTGGTGGGGAAACGGTGGACACAGGATGTGCTCTCATCACTTACGGGTTAAGAGAGTAAATCAAAGCAACGGACTTTCCTGGTGGTCCAGTGATTAAAAATCGGCTCAATCCCTGGTTAAATGAGGATTCCACGTGCTGTGGAGCAACTAAGCCCGGGAGACCCAACTACTGAGTCTGTGTTCTCACTGCAATGAAAGCCACCACAACGAGAAGCCTGTGCACCACAACTAGAGAGTAGCCCTGGCTCCCCGAAAATAGAGAAAGCCTGCACGCAGCAACGAAGACCCAGCGCAGCCAAAAACAAAGCAAATTTTAAAAGTTAAGGGAAAAAAATCAAAGCAGAAGTGACCCAGAGTTTGGAGCTGGGTGGGGAGGGAGGTGCCCAGGTGAGGGTTAGGAGAACAGCCAGGTGAAGACAGTGAGGGCAGGTCTGGTCAGCCACCAGGAAAAGATGCTAAAGAAACAGAAGAAACCAGGAGGAGGATGAGCCAACAAAAAGGAGAGTCAGCCAGAAGCATTAGCAAGACTGGTGAGTGACTTTGTGTCAGTAAGTCTGAAACCTGGATGAAGTGAACGCTTTATAGATGATTCAAGTCATTAAATGGAAGTTATAACTCTGAATAAACCAGTAACCCCGAAGAACCCAAATCCGTCACCAAAGACAGCCCAGCCTGACCGAGGAGACCGCTGGCCCTGGGGGTCTCAGCCAGTCTCATCCTCCCTCAGAGCCCTGAGTGAGACCCCTGGCCAGTGTGTGGGGACTCCATCTCCAGGTATCTGTGGCAGGTTCGGCATGATGAAGGCAGCTCTCTCTCCCTCTAACCTTACAAGAACCTAATTATAGGGGTGACATCACTAGGCAGCTGAAACTGACTCCTGACTCACACTCTCCTGAGTGGACACCATGCCTCGTCCAACCTGCCGATGCTTTTCCTGGACAAAAAGAAAAATGAAGAACTAAGAAGTTAAAGAACGACTAGCTCTTACCCCTGCAGCCCCCTCAGCCCAGGGGATCAGGTAAAGACCTGGCAACATGAGGACAGCGGGAGCCATAGGTCCAGTGCTGCCCAAGAGGACTGGCCGCTGGCCAGCGCCCAGCCGGGGAGGCCAGCCTGCTGCATGGGCAGTGACCGTGCATGGCCAGGCCTCTCTCGGGAGGGTGCTGAGGTGGATGCGCCCAGGGCTGGCCTCAGGCAGTCTTGGGCCACGCACTGGGGTGGGGCAGGGGTCCTGGCCCCACATGCTGCCCACCTAGGCCTTGGCTCTGTCCTGGTTCCCACTCAGCCTCCCCATGACCCTTGGGCCTCTGAGGGCACCCCTGCCTTTGGCTGGGGAGGGCAGGGGGGCCTGGGGCCGGGCAGCAGGGGCCGGTGGGGGTTTGGGAAGGAGAGCGAGACGTCCAGATGAAGACCGAAGGGGACTGGGGGTGTTGCAGAGGGACAGCATAGGGGAGGGGAGGGGTCAAGGGTCAGGGGTGCAGTAGTGGGGCCATTCGTGGTCAACCTCTGGCTACTGAGCACTCTGGACCCTGAGGACGGTGGGATCCAGGCTGCAACCACGACCGGGAACAAGTGGCCCCAGAGTCCCAGATACTGGCTCCTAGCCCGTCCCTGGTCTAGGTGGCCACTCTGGGGCCAAGAGTCAGGCTGTCCCCGCCCTCTGGTCGCCTGAGCCACAGCCCTGCCCTTGAAGGCCTAGTGAGCCTTGGCCAGGGCCATAGGTGCTGGACACCCCACAGCCACCTGCTCTTGTTGTGGGAAATGCCCTCCCCTGGATGCCCAGGGCCGCCGTCCACCCTGCCCTGCAGTGTGCACACATGTGCAGACCGCGCCCTCCCCATGCGGGGGCAGGGACCACACAGGCCCAGGCAGGATTGCTGGACAGGCACCGGCTTCTCTGCAAGGCCTTTATTGAGTTTCCAGGGAGACCGGCTTCCCCGAGACACCTCTGGACACGCAGGGACCCAGGTGTCAAGGGTGCCAAGCATATGGAACCGTGGGGTCTGGCTGCAGCCACAATGCCATTGCAGGGTTTACGGTGGTTTCATTCTGGCCGCGCGGGAGGCTGGCTCACTGGTGTCCAGCCTCGGGGGTGCCCTTCTCGTGTGGGTAAAGCTGCCGGACGAGGTCTCGCTTGTTGACCTTCCCCATCTGGTTCCGCGGGATCTCCTCCACCAGCAGCAGCTCCGAGGGCACTGCGTACGGGGCCAGGACGCCTCTGCAGAGACACGGGGCCTGAGTGCAGGGGATGCGGCGGGGGGGAGGGCGGGGGTTGGCACCTTTCTCCAGTGGGAGGTTACCGGAGAGGAGTGGTTGGCACCTCACACACCCCTGGGTGTCCTGACCATGCATGCACACCGGCCAGCACTGCCCCTCCCACACCAGAGTCGATGTCTACAAAATGGGAGGGGCCCCATTGGAAGAGGCGTCCTCCTGTGGACAGGCCCCTGGTGGCCCAGCCCCAGGCAGCACGTGGAGGCTGCAGGCACCGGAGGCTATCCCGAGCAGAGCTCCCTGCAGCATGGCCGCACGCGGCCCCTTTATAAGAGACCAGCAGAAGCACAGGTGCTGCCTGGGGCAGAGGGGCAACAGAGGCAGGATGCACAGCCCGAACCCCAACCCATAGTCACCAAAATGGAAGAGAAGTTGCAGGCATGGAGGGGCGCAGTCTAAAAGCCTGTGAGCTCACCATTTCTGAGAACAGACCCGTTCTCTTCTGGAGAGCATCAGCTCAGCAAGTGGGCTGGGAGGAACCGGTCAGGGCAAAATGCCGCCTGAGCAGGAACCCCGCAGAACTGAGCTGTTTGTTCCAGAGCTTCCCTGCAGGGAAATTCCCACCGCTCAGCCCCTTGGGAACAGCGTCCCTGCTCGAGACCTGATCCCGCAGAGCTCCATCTGGGCACAGGATTCCTGAACTACACCCCCCGTCCCCGCCCCGGAGGTGTAAGCCCCACATGGGCCTCTGCAACTGGACAGTGTGGTGGGCGGGCCATGTCCAGACCAGGGAATGTGGCACTGCTGCCCAGCCCCAAGCCGTGCTCACCCACAGTGTCCCAATGCCTGAGCTGGGGAGGGGGTGGCTGCCAGCTTCCCCCCACTCCGCTAGGAGCACAGCGGTCTGGGGGACGGGGCAGGATGGACCTTTACTGAGGGGCAGACAGACTGTGAGGTAAGAATCTTCAGGAATGAAAAAACAGCAGTGGAAGGGAAAACATTATTTTTACAAAAAAGACCCTTATATGGCAACAAACATGACATAGAAACGGCAGCTTCACTGAGCCAGTGTCAAGAGGGACTGGAGTGAGGCCCCTCCTGCATACTCCCCCCACGGGGAGTGCAGGTGGATCTGGAGCCGGCCCTGCCCTCTGAGAGGAGGACCTTTGCCCTCCCCTCCACGGGGTGGGCAGTAGCAGTGTCACTGTCCGTGGCCACCCAGTGTGAGAACACAAAGCCCAGGGTGCCAGCCGCTCCAGGCCCACCCTGAGGGGAGCATCTCTCAGGACCCCAAGCTCTCAGCAGGCAGCAGACCCCGCAGAGGGACACCGGGAGCCTGGGGTGACAAGGAGCATCTCTAATGTTGGGAGACCGGCTCTTGGCCCAGGATGGCAAGCTCTGCCTTTTAACAAAGCGACTGTTTAAGCAAAGCGGCAAAGCCAACTAGAATCCTGCTCACGCCTTTGTGAAACTATAACGTTCCAGCTGTGATTCTGCAAATCCAGGGGAATCTAATGGCCCAGCTGTGCTGCCCGATAAAAAAGGACTCCGACAGCTCCCGAGACCCCGCTGGGAGAGCCACAAGTATCTTCAGTGTTGAGGAGGCGGGAGAAGGAGGGGTGGGGAGGGGAGAGGGAGGAACCTCCTACATCTAAGATAAAGAACCTGGGGACAGAACTAACAGCTTTTCTCTGAGCTCGGGCCAGCAGCGAGCACCCACAGGCCCCTGCGATGCCCCAAGCTCAGCGGCACCCCTAGCCTGTTCAGCCTGCCCCAGGGGCCTCTGAGCTGGGCTCTGCAAATGGACCTTCCCTGACGAGGTCCCTCCTATACCCAGGAGAGGATGCAGGCGCTCATGTGTGCCCCCGTCTGCCTCAGAACCTGCCTCGGAAGCTCAGACCTGAGTCAAGGGTCAGGGCCCTACATCTGCTCCTGCCACCACAGCGCAGCCTTCTCGGGTCCTTCAGGCCTCGCGTGTGTCTGTGTGGGGGAGGGGGCCAGTCCTTAAGGCCTTCACACCTATGCCCGTGTGTGGGGGCAGCTCCTGTGGGGGACACGCTGCCTGCTAGCCACCGCTGCATGGCTGTCTTTGGGTCCTTAACACCTCGAGTGTCCGTGTGTATGGCGGGGGCAGCTCCCATAAAGGCCACATAGCTCAGCCCTCACCTGGCCCACTCCTTGAGCTCCCGGTGGGACAGCAAGTGGCCCTCTTGAAGGGTCACCACTGCAGTGACCCGCTGGCCCCACGTCATGTCTGGAACTCCAATCACAGCGACGTCTGTGGAGGAAGCAGAGGGAGGGATCTCAGGACACACAAGAACGAGCACAGAAGGCTGCAGGAAGGACCCAGAGAAGCCCGAGTGGCCAGAAACGGGGGCACAGGGCACCCCTGGGGTGTCAGGAGAGCCTGGGACACCACCCCTCCTGACCACGGGGTCAGTGGCCTGCACTGGCCAGCCTGGACCTACGAGGGGGGGCGGTGAGGGGAGCAGAGGACCTGATGGTATGCCCCAATACACACATAGGAAGCCGCATCTGGACCGGTCCCAAGATGGCCCAGATAGCCGAGAGCAGCTGTGTCAGCTGAAGGGCAGGGTCACAGGGCCACTCACCAGTGATGCTGGGATGGGCCAGCAGGAGCCGCTCCACCTCCAGGGCGCTGACCTTATAGCCGCCACTCTTGATGATGTCCACAGAGGTGCGGCCACGGATCCAGTAGCTGCCATCCTTGAACACTGCCGTGTCACCTAGGGAGAGGCCTGGGTCAGCTTGCTGGGTGTGGCCCTGTGTCTCGGGGCATCTACATCTCTCTGGAACAAGCTGGCCAATGCCACGTGGACAGCTGGGGCCTTGTGTGATGCCCACACAGACACATCTGCGACCACATCCCACAGGGACCATCGTGGGAAATAGCCCATAGCTTCCAAGGGCCACGGAGGCAGGAGATACAACCCACAGGGCCTCCCTGGGTTCCAGCCACAGAAGGGCCTGGCGTGGACATCAGGGCAGACCCTTCCTGACAGGGAGTGGGCCACACGTGGGGTCACGTGGGGGATCTGGCAGGAGGAAGGGCCCCCCCTGCCATGCTCAGTGCGGGTGCTTCCCACCCCAGCAAGGGCACGGGGCACATGCCCGCTGGGGCATCGCGGGAACAGGGGGAGCAGGGCTGAGGGTGAATGCGCTCACACAAGTGTGCACGCGTGTGTGAGACTGTGCACATGGGAACGCCTGCCCGTGCTCTGAGAGCTGCACTGACGCACCACCGTCTGCTCTCACACACTTCAGGCGGGTGATTAGCTGGAATAAATCAATATTTCATGATACATTGCCGTCCAACGCAGGAGGCCCATCCATCAGCTCGCGCTCCTGGAGCCCAGCCATGTGGGGCACCCCAGCCTATTAAACAAGATGGATGGATGTGCCCGGCTGGCCGCGGCGGGAGCTGGGCTCCTGAGGTGGGGGCCCTCCTGCCCAACACTAAGCAGAAGGAAGGGGAGGTCCTGGGAGCCACCGCGGTCCCTGGATGCATGATGGGTAGGTGGATGGCGGGGAAGGACGCGTGTGACAAGAGTGACAGGCAGGTTGCAGGGACAGGACATAGGGTGCCCCATCCCCCGTGGCCCACCAGGGCCCCTGATGTGTGTCTCTGGCTCTGGCCGCATCCTCTCCACACTGGACGGCTTCTCCATCCCTAAATACCAACCCTGGCCCAAGGTGGTTCCTCCTGCGGTTTCCAGACCCAGCTCCCACTGGCCTCTGCCTGCCAGGGACCCAGGGGTGTGGGGGTCACTGCCCTGCCCTGGGCTCCACATCCCACACCTGGTCCTGCCAGGGACACACCCAATGACCACACCAAGGCTGAGGTGGCCTCAGGGCCCCTGGCCACAACACCTGCACCCTCCTTGCTCTGATGTCAATTTAACCCAGGGCGAGAGCTCCCAATGGCCGCACCCACGCCCTCTGGCAGACTGCCGGCCATGTCCCTCGCCCAGGGGCGCTCACACCCGCCGCCCACCAGCAGTGTCTGCTTCTCCACCTGTCCACTGCTCCACTTAGACGTCACTCCCGTGGCCTCACCAGCTGCCTCCCCAGCTCCCCACCTCCCCACCACCCTCCCCCCACCCCAAGCCCTGCACACCAGGTGGTCCACTTACTGACCTCCTCCAGCCACATGAAGAGCAGTGAGACTAGGGTCTTTGAGCAAAGCCAGCCCCGAGATGGCAGGGCTGGTGGGAGGACACATGGACGCCATACCAGGGGAGGTCCCGGGTCTATGTGCTGAGTGAGGAAAGGCCGGTGGGAGACCCTGCTACTCCCTGGGGTCACCGTTAGGCAGGAAGTAAGGACACACGTCATGGCAGTCCTTGATTACTCGGTGGCCTCAAATTGGTCACAACATCCTCATAAGAGGGAAGACGACGGAGATTTGAGACAGACAGACGGACACAGGACATGAGGATGGAGGCAGAAGGTCCCGGTGGGTCTGTGCCCTCAGCGTGGCCGAGCAGGGGGCCAAGAAGGATAGGAGAAGGAAAACAGACACACGACATCTCCCTTGAGCGGGGCCTGCCTCAACACACAGCTTGGATCGCTCCCTCCTGGAATAAAGTCAACAGCAACCGTTTTTTTAAGGCACAAAAGTTATGCAGAGGGAACAGGAGAGGGTGTGTTGGTGAGAAAACTGGCAGCTGGAAGGCAGGTAGACAGACTCTGCGGGTCGTTTATGGCCGGGCTGGCAGGTGCCCTGGGGGAGGCGCAGAGGACAGCTGAGAGCAGGGGGCAGGGGCACTGGCCCTCAGTGCACGGCCACCGCTCATGCTCTGGGGACAGAGGAGGTGGACAGCAGCATGGAGCCCAGGGGCCTCCCCAACCCTGCCTCCTGCTCTCAGCGCCTGACCCCTGCAGGCATCGGCGAGGAGAACTCAGCCATCAAGTACGCTGGCAAGATGAGGACAGTCAGCCCCGGAGGCAGGGGGCTTGTCAACCAGAGGGCTCCCAGGGCAAAGGGACTCGAGAGAGGGGAAAGGTCATGACGCACCAGGAGCAAGGCGGCTGCAGCCAGCAGGGCCCCTGAAAGCCGGACACTAGAGCTCTGTGCCCGGCCCAGCCAGACGAGCATGCCAGTGGACATAGCTCTCTGGAGTGCACCTGCTGCTGCCCGGCTTCAGAGACTCCTGGGAACATGGCCCGAGCCGAGGAGGAGGATGCAGGGGTGCAGGGACAGACATGACCCTGGAGGAAGGAGGAGGCAGGTGGGAGCTGTATGCTGATGCGGGGGAGGGGGGGCACTGGGGGGTCTCTTGGGGGAACTGGACAGACCAGCACCCCAACTCAGGAAGCCCGGAACAGTGTGTCCACGAGTATGTGGCAGTCCCTGGGCGCCCTCCAACTGCCAGTGTGGACACAGCTGGGGTACGAGGGCTCCTCCCCAAACCTGACAGACGGTCTGGAGTCTCCCAGCTGCCTGTATGGGACCTTGATGAAAACAGGGACCCTCTGCCAGGGCCAGCCTGGGCAGACACGGAGGCCAAAGGGCAGCACAGAGGCCCAGCAGGAGCGAGACGGGACGGTACCCGTCGTCTGCACAGGAGCTGTGCCAGGCGAAGCCAAGCGGGGTGTGCCAGAAGACACAGAGAAGCAGATCTCGGCCACCACCGGGGAACAAAGGGTTTCACGCAAGACACAAAGTAAAGTCTACACAAAGGGACAGCCGCCAGCCAGCGCCACAGCCAGCCACACAGGCTGTGCCCCGTGGGGTGGCGGGGGCCAGGGGGTCAGCAGCCTGCCCGCACTGCGCATCCTGGGGACTTGCTGGGCCCTGCGGGGGGCGGGGACGTGCTAGTTGTTCACGGTCAGCAGACGCAAAGGCGGTTGACATCCTCCAGCTACACGCGCTGTCACACCCTAACAAGAAACCCCCTCTTTTTCAATACGCTGCCTGATTCCTGACTGTTGTTGGTCACAATGGATGCACGGGTCATGGAAGAAACGTGTCAGAGCTCAGAGTGCACCAGGTGAGCACAAGGCAGGGGAGCCTGGCGCAGGGTGAGGGCCAGGCAGGGGGGGCCTTTGTCTCAGACAACAGAGAGCGTCTCACCCTCACCTGTGGCGGTGGAGGACAGAGTTCACCCAGGAAATTCTGCTGAGAAAAAACAAAGGACTAGAGGGAGTCATGCAGAGACAGCAGCTAGTGTCCTGCGCATGGCGCGCAAACCTGTGTGTGACGGCTGTGCACACCCACGGACACACGTGTGTGGCACACGCCAGCAGGGCTCCGAGGCTGGGATCACTCGGGCTGTGGGTACAGAAGGCGTGCGATCCTCTGTGGTTTGGACGCACCCGAGGTGCCCACAAACCCAGCACCAAACCAGGGGTCTATAAACATCAGAGCCTCCACCTCTGTCTCCTGTGCATGGATTCCCAGGAGCCCTCCTCACACGTACCCCACCCGTGGGAGCCAACCACCCACCTCGCAGCACAGAGCATCGGCTCCGGAAGAGTCCCTGCCAGTTTGGTGGATGGAGTCTGTCTCCATACTTGCCTTTCACCACTGGGAAGTGAAACAGTTTCTGCATTTTTATGGCTGACTGCACTTCTCCTCCACCTGCCTATGGCTTTATTTTCCTCCTGGGCTCTGGGTGCAGGAGGCCATGCTCTTGGCCTGGGTCAGCCCTCATGTCCCAGGCTCTCCAACCTCTCAGCAGACCCCGTGCTCAACCGAGTGTGCACAGGGCCACAGAACAGCTCCCTTCTGTTTTCTGCTGGTGAATCTTCTTCTTTCTTAGATAAATACCCTTTAAGGTTTTCCTCTGGTAATATCATTGTGTGCTCTTTAACAGAGAAAAAGGGATCAGCAACTCAGTGCCAAGGTACCCTGTTACATTCTGGTGGAGTTCTTACGCACCCTTCACCCAGTTACCTGAGCTTCTACAAATGTGTGGATTTATCATCAGGGATGTTCCATCTCCTATGTCACTTTCTAACAGCAAACTGTGTGAGGAGACCTTTAAAGGGTAGAGACTTTGTCTCTTTTTTCACACATTTAATTTAACTGGCTGTGCTGCGTCTTCGCTGGCGGGCAGGCTTTCTCTAGTTGTGGCAAGCGAGTGGACCTCTCCCTGTGGTGGCCTCTCTTACTGCAGAGCCTGGGCTCTAGGGCACATGGCTTCAGTTCCTCCATGGCATGTGCGGTCCTCCTGGGTCAGGGATGGACCTGCGTCTCCATTGGCAGGCAGGTTCTTTACCCCTGGGCCACCAGAGAAGCCCCAGGAGATCTTCTTTAGAAGAAGGCAGAGGTGCAATTTCTGTTTCCTTGTTCAGTTGCCAGTCGCTCTACCACACCCAGAGGGCAGGAGGATTGCAGCGCAGGCTCGGCTCAGTTCTACATCCCCATATACATGCCGTGTCCCCATGTCTGTCCCGTGTCCTCAGCTCTGTCCTGGTCATCATCTCTGCCCCAGGTTGTCTGTGTCCACATCTCCATCTTTAGCTCCACCCTGTGTCCTTACACCTGCTGTCCCACATCCTCGTCTTTGACAGCAGGGTCAGTGTAAAGCCCTGAGGAGGGAGTTCTGGCATCACCGTTTCCCCACCCCAGGGGCCAGCACTGAGCCTGTGCGCTCACCCGTGTGGAAGGTGGGATGCAGTTAGGGTCATCATCGGGGGTGCTCCAGAAAGGAGGGCTCTGATTTCCTGCCTGAGCAGCAGCCAGGACCCCAGGGGCTGGCAGAGAATTCCTGGCGATGGAAACTGGGCTCTGTGCAGGCCAGGGAGGGCAGCCTCTCTCCTCTCAGCCTCTGAGAAGCCATGGATGCAGCCCCCTGCAGCCTGGGCCAGAATGTGTGTGGCAGGAGGGCTGGTCGGGGAAAGGGTTAAGTTTAATTCATCCTGATTTCTACTTAATATCCCGCTCGCTTGCCCCGCAGGAGCGGCAGCTGTGAGCTGATTGCTGCGCACATTATGCAGCCTGTATCACTAATGGCCTGTGACAAAGGCACGCGGCTTCCAGGCCTCACCCCCGAGAGCCAATTAAACACACAGACTCCCTTCCTGTTTGCTGCGCATTACAATGAAATTAAACTGAATTTCAAAATCATTTTCTCCTAAAGACATCTCTTTACGATAATTAATGCATGCTATTCCTTTCAACTGAAATATTCATCACGACCAGGGACTGAGACGTGTTATGTTGACTGCCCCTCACTTTGCACGCTGCCGGCCCGGCGTGCGCAAGCCCTGCTATTGGCAAAGTCCACAGGGCTTTGGTTCCCGTGCTTTTAAAGAAAAAGACTGCAGCTCTTTTGCTGAGTTTAAAAATAAAGGAAGATGGCCACAAAGTAGTCAGATTTCCAAGTCAGGATGCTCAGAGGGCTCCAGAAGGGACACGCAAAAGCAGGATGAGCCCAAAGTTGTATTTCTTTAACCCTGCATTTGAAGGGCAGCAGTAATCTTGTTGCCACCAGGCTGGCCTGTACGAATTCAACATTTACAAAGAGAAGCTGGAGTACGTGAACAGCTGCCCCGGCACCGGGGCCCAACCACTGAGCCCTCTGCCGGCACCAGCCAGGGCCCCTGGCGCAGGCCTCTGCTCTGCTCTGGGGAACTCTCATCTGCCCCTTCTGCCTCGAACCCCACATGACGGGCCCCCAGCACCCCAGGAATCCTGGGGGGTGTGCGCATGGCCCTGCTCTGTCACCCGGTGACCTGAGGCCCATGATGGCGGCAGACTGGAGAGTGAATTCTACCCTGAGAACCCACGCTGCCTGAGCCCACAAAGACTCACGTGTGTGCCTCGGCCAGCAGTGGTTCCCAGGGGGTCACCAGGCCAAGGGCACATCCACCGCCTCTCCCACCCCCAGATGCACCTGCGTGCCCTCACGGCTGCCCATCACTCTCTCCTCAGCTCTCCTGCCCACAGAGGAACTGCCAAGAGGTGCATTTCTAATTAGAAGGCTGTCTCACGACGACAGAGAGGCAGGCCTTTCTTTTTGGAAAATAGTGCTTTAAGATTATTAAGATTATTGTGACATAATGCATGCTCAGCATGCAAGTTTTAGAAATTCAGACAGGCAACAAGCAAAGGAGAAATGCCCGGAGCCCCTCTCCTGGCTGTCAGGAACTGCTGGGAGTGTCCTGTGTGAGCATACACCAGGGAATCCACGTAGCTACAAACTCGAACACTCCCAGGATCTGCTGAACTGGCCTCACACTCGACGGGACCACTGGGACCAAGGAGAAGGGCACAGCGGACAGGGGCGTGAGGCACCTCCGAGCAGTCTCTGGGCCGGCAGACACTGGGGGACCCCTGCCTGCCCTTGCACAGGGCCCCAGGACTCTGGCTACACACTCTGCAGGCAGGTGACAGAGAGCAGACTTCGGGGGACCAAACCAAACCACAAGCAAACTCCTTCTGTGGGGATGGGGGCGGGGTTAGGAAGCAGGGGGAGTAGGGATGGGAAGGCGGAGAGGGTCTCTGATGTGGAGAGCAGTGGTCCCTCGGGAGGGGGAATCCTGACCCTCAAGGGGCAGACAGACCACCACGTGCATGGTGGCCGGGCGAGGGACAGGGCCAGAGTCTGGCCGCAGGGCTTGAGCTGGCCCCTGAGGTTCATAGCCTCAGGACCTTCTTTCTAGAGGCTGCAGGGGGCTGGGGTACAGTGTCAGGGGTGCAGCTTTAAAGACAGGAGATGCAAAGTGCCCCCTTCCCCTCTCCAGGGAGGATTCTGGGGGTGTCCCAGTGCAGTGACACTGGTCTGTGGAGCCACCTGCCTACCTGTTTTGAACCAGCCGTCTGAGGTGAAGGCAGCTTTCGTTTCTTCTGGCTTGTCCCAGTATTCTCGGAACACGGAGGGCCCCCTGACCAGGAGTTCACCCTCCTTCTCCTCGAACCCTGGGGTCACCTGTGGTGAGACAGAAAGGTGGGTGTCAGACTTCACCCCTTCGGGCTGGTCTCTACCACCCCGGATCCTCCCGAGGCCCACGCGCTCTCCTGAAATTAGACACTTTGGTGGGAAGCACCAACCATCTTTCCACACCCCACCTCAGAAATGCCGCCCGAGGCCTCTGTGCCCACCCCATCCTGGAGCTCACAGCCCAACCCAATTGGCCTGTCTGTCCACTTCTGAGGACCACACTCCTGTGAAACTGTCTTCAGGGTGTCTCTTAGACTGACCTCGGACACGGGAAAAGTGGGCAGCTGCCCACACCCGCCATGGCTGCTGGGAAGAGCTCGGGGTTAGTGGCTTTGCAGGGTGGGAAGGGGGCCCACGGGGCAGCCAGTTATGGGGGGAGGAGCCGGGCACCTGGGAGAGAGAGCTAGGTGGTCATGAGCAGGAACCCCAGAGTCTCCTCGCTGTGGGCACGGTGAGGGCGGAAGGGGGCTGGGTGTTCTAAGACATGGAGTCGGGGTCTGCAATGCCGGGAAAGGACAGAGCAAAGGCGGAACCACGTTCAGTGGGGCCTCGCTGGCTCTGCGCTCACGGCTCGGCTGACAGCAACGTAACCATGACCCACGAGACCAAGTGCCCCCAGACAACCCTGCTCAGCTCATCAGCTCCCACCTGGGATGAGCTTTTTGTGGGGGAGAACATCCCCCTATTTTAAAGAAAAGACACCCTTGGAAATGTGCTGTAAAATCGTCTGAGCTGTCTGAGGCCTGGATGGAAAGCTGAGTGCCCCTGGAACCGACACAGTGGGTGGACAGCGAGGGCACCCTCCCCACTGCCTGGCTCCCACAAGGAGTGCTGTCACTCAGGGGGACGGGGCTGTGTGTTCCGGGCCAGCAGGGCTTCTGCCATCCAGCCTGCTCAGGGGAGGTGTTTGTTTTATCAATTACACCACAGACTTTATTTGAATTTCACCGTTTTTCCCACTGCCATCCTTCATCTGCTGCCCTGCTAACGTCGGCCTGGCCACGGGGTGCCACATCTGCAGGGCAGGTATGCACAGTAAAGCAGAGGCTGTGAAAATGAAACTGACATGGAAACTGACCCCAGAGATGGCAGGCTGCAGAATTAGACCAACTAGATAACAGTAACAGAAAAATACCGACCTCTCCACTGGACGTGAACAAGATCCAGAGTCTCATAACACAATACTCAGAGTGTCCAGGACACAATGCAAAACTAACTCAGCAGGTGAAAGGCCAAGAAAGTGCCAACTCTTAAGGGAAAAGGGCATCAGTATGGGAAAGCACCAGAAGGCAGTGCTGGGTGCACCTAAGAAAGATGCTAAAGCACAGATTATCAACATGCTCCGATAGGTAAGGGCAAAAACTGCAAATACGTGGGAACACAGAGTCTCAGCAGAGAAATAAAAGACACAGGGTAGAACCAAACGGAAATTTTAGAACTAAAACTACAATAACAGAAATAAGGAAAACTTACTGAATGGGCTCCCTGGTGGCTCAGATGGCAAAGAAGCTGCCTGCAATGTTGGAGACCCAGGTTCAATCCCTGGGTCAGGAAAATCCCTTGGAGAAGGAAATGGCAACCCATTCCAGTATTCTTGCCTGGGAAATCCCACGGACAGAGGAGCCTGGTGGGCTACAGTACATGGGGTCACAGAGAGTTGGACACGACTAAGTGACTGCTAGGGACACAAAGATATTTGATAAAATTTGGCGTAAAATCCCTCAAGTTTGGTGAAATACATAAATGTATTCAAGAAGCTCAAGATTCAAGACTCAAGAAACTACATGAGCCCCAAATAAGCCCAAAGAAATACAAACCAAGACATATCATAATCCAATTACTGAAAACTAAAAAGAAAGACAAAACTTTTGACATCAGGGAATAACTTTGAGGCATTCAAACAACTACTGACTTCTCTGTGGAAACAATGGAGACCAGAAAAAAAAAAAATCAACCAGAATAATGTGTTTTAGGCATTGAAATAATTGTCAACCCAGAATTCCAAATCCAGTGAAAATAACTTTCAAGAATGAAGATAAAGTAAAGACAGTCTTAGATGAAGGAAGAAATAAAAGAATCTGTCATTAGCAGATCTGACCTAGAAAAGTTACTACAAAATTCCTCAGTCAGAATGAACCTGGAAGATCAGAAGTAAAGAAAAAGCAACAGAACTGGTAAACATTTGGTTGAATAAAACTGACTCTTCTTTTCCTTATGAATTTTTGACCACTGAAAGCAAAAATTGTACCACTGTCTAAGGAAGCTTGCCACATACGGAGCCATTACATATGACAACAACAACCTAAAAAGGAGAGGGCACAGTGACCCATGTGGTGTGACAAAGACCCTCTGCTCCACTCAACTGCGGTCAGCCTCCTAAACCCCTCCTAGGCCCATCAGTGTGAAAGTGAAAGTGAAAGTGGCTCAGTTGCGTCCGACTCTTTGCGACCCCATGGACTATACAGTCCATGGAATTCTCCAGGGCAGAATACTGGAGTGGGTAACCTTTCCCTTCTCCAGGGGATCTTCCCAACCCAGGGATCAAACCTAGGTCTCCTGCATTGCAGGCAGATTCTTTACCAGCTGAGCCACAAGGGCAGCCCAAGAATACTGGAATGGGAAGCTTAACCCTTTTCCAGCAGATCTTCTGGACCCAGGAATCGAACCAGGGTCTCCTGCATTGCAGGTGGATTCTTTACCAACTGAGCTAAAGTGTACTTCCTATGAAAGCCAGTTTTAGCAAGAACTCAGCAAAGTCAGTTTAGTGAGAGGCCCCTCCACTCGGATATCTACTCACCCTCCTATCTCTCCGGTTCCTCGTCCCCTGCCACCTTGGTGGTGATGGCTGACCACCCATCCAGCTGGCCTTCAGCACAAATCCTGTTAGGTTCCTGTTTAGCCAGGATCCCCCTGACCCATGAGGTTTCCTCTTTGTAAACTTCCATCCTGTGACCCCCACTGCTCCTTGGCTGTCACCCTCTCTTGCTGATGCTCTTTTCAGGGCTGAGCCCAGTCTCTCTCCCTTCTGCAATTCCCACGAGAGGTCCCTACGCCCATCATGTGGGTCCTCGTCCGCCTCAGCACTTAACAAGAGCGATGATTATCTTTTCTCTGGCAGTAGTAGTTCTGTGTCCTGCTGGAAGTGTCACAATGTTGAGTCTAAGTAGATCTCAAACAGTGAAGCAGGTATTTTGTAGTTCTTAGACCAAATACTAAAAACTGTAAGATGTATGTTCAAAAACTCGGCAGACAAATCAAATAACAAACGAGAGACTTAAATTCAAACATATTAACAGTCACATTAAATGTACATGGTCTACACATGGTCTAAACATAACAATTAGAAGAAAAACTTCAAATCAGATTAAAAGACATACATGACCCAACTATGTGCTATCTGCAGGGCTTCCTTGGTGGCTCAGAAGGTAAAGAATCTGCCTGCAGTGCGGGAGAACCTGGTTCAATCCCTGGGTCAGGAAGATCCCCTGGAGGAGGGCATGGCAACCCACTCCAGTATTCTTGCCTGGAGAATTCCATGGACAAAGGAGACTGGTGGGTTACAGTCTATGGGGTTGCAAAGAGACGGACACGACTGAGCGACTAACACACACAAGTGCTATCTATAAGAAACCCACTTCAAATACAGTTACATGGCAGGTTAGGAGCAAAGAGATGGAACAATATATGCCATGCAAACACCAATCAGAAGAAACCAAGCCATGTATCAGGAGTCGTCTATATTAATACAAACAAAATGAACTTAACAGCAGAATGTTACCAGCAGCTTCGTGGTTGCAGAGTCACTAAGTCGTGTCCAACTCTTGTGACCCCATGGACTGCAGAATGCCAGGCTCCTCTGTCCTCCACTACCTTCAGGAGTTTGTGCAAATTCATGTCCATTAAGTCAGTGATAATATCTAACCATCTCATCTTCTGCTGCCCCCTCTTCCTTTTGCCTTCAATCTTTCCCAGCATCAGGGTCTTTTCCAGTAATTCAACTCTTTGCATCATGTGGCTAAAGCACTGGAGCTTGAGCTTTAGCATTAGTCCTTCCAGTGAATCTTCAGGATTGATTTCCCTTAGGATTGACTGGTTTGATCTCCTTGCAGTCCAAGGGACTCTCAAGAGTCTTCTCCAGCACCACAATTTGAAAGCATCAGTTCTTCAGCACTCAGCCTTCTTTATGGCCCACTTCTCACATCCATACCTGACTGCTGGAAAAACCAAAGCTTTGACTAAATGGACCTTTGTCGGCAAAGTGATGTCTCTGCTTTCTAATACCCTGTCTAGGTTTGTCACAGCTTTCCCTCCAAGGAGCAAGTGTCTTTGAATTTCATGGCTGCAATCACCACCTGCAGTGATTTTGGAGCCCAAGGAAAGAAAACCTGTCACTGCTTTGAATTTTCCCCCTTATATTTGCCATGAAGTGATGTGATCAGATGCCATGTCCTCAGTTTTTGAATGCTGAGTTTTAAGCCAGCTTTTTCACTCCCCTCTTTCACCCTCATCAAGAGGCTCTTTAGTTCCTCTTCACTTTCTGCCACTAGAGGGGTATCATATGCACATATGAGACTATTGGTATTTCTCCCGGCAGTTTTGATTCCAGCTTGTGATTCATCCAGCCCGGCATTTCATATGATGTACTCTGCATATAAACTAAATAAACAGGGTGACAGCATACAGCCTTGTCATAATCCTTTCCCAGTTTTGAACCAGTCAGTTGTTCCAGGTCTGGTTCTAACCGTTGCTTCTTGACCCACATACAGGATTCTCAGGAAACAGGTAAGGTGGTCTGGTATTCCTATCTCTAAAAAATGTTCACAGTTTGTTGTGATCCACACAGTCAAAAGCTTTTGTGCAGTCAGTGAAGCAGAAGTAGATGTTTCTGTGCATTCTCTTGTCTTCTCTATGATCCAACAAATGTTGACAATTTGATCTCTGGTTCTTCTGTCTTGTCTAAACCCAGCTTGTACACTTGGAAATTCTCA